TCACGGCTGGGGGGGCGGCGAGACCCAGTCGCACCCCACTTCCAACGCCACTGGGATGTGGGCGCAAAGTGGTGTAAATAGGGTGCGCGATGGATCCAGCGCCCCCACCCCGCGCCCGGCCCGGCCCCGCCCCGCCACGCCCCGGCCTGATACCATCTAAATCGGCGGATAAGGGGGGGAAGGAGCGAGACCGCATCACAGCTAGAGCATCGGTCCCCGAGGATGTAACAGGAACTGGACGATCTTGCAGGCAGGCGCGACCGAGTGTCGGGGGAGGAGGGGAGGAGGGGCTCACACTCCAATAGGCGTTCATTAAACTCATAACCGTTTAAGGCCGATGATTAGGCGAGTAATAAGGTCGGAAGCGTAAGCCTGATGTGGCAGGGGCGTGGTGGGGCGTGGCGGGGCGAGGCAAGGCGTGGCGGGGCGTGGTTTACTGAGGTCGAAGACAGATGGACGGGCGTTTGGTGGCACCTCTCGTTAGACTTACGGCCCTGCTCGTGGCCTCATGAAGGCCGCGGGGCCTGCGAGGGGGGCCTCGGCAGCACAATCGGCATGCAGTCGAAGCCTTTGGCTGCCTTTGGCGCGGGGCGGGGTGCCTATCGAGTTAAATAGTTTGTGACAGCTGAGGTGAAATTTCTGGAAACTGGCTCGGCCTGGGAGGCCTGGCTGGCTGGGCTGTCACTTTGGATATGCAGCGCGTGCAGCCGGGCCCGGGCTGGCTCGGCCGGCTCGGCACAGAGGGTGAATTCATTCATCGCACCTGACTGACCCCATTACCAATAAAATAAAAGTAAAAACTGGGAGAAGAATGAGGATGAGGCATCCTCCTTTTTTCTGGAAGTGAGTCCAGCCAGCCGCCGGGCCTCCTGGGCCGCCATCGCGCGCCCCGCCGGCGGCGTGCCCACCACCGTGCCTCCCGGCCAGCGGAGTATCGAATGTCGCGGAGCTTGATGAATAACAATTGACAGAAACCCGTATTTTAAGGACTCCACTCATCAACTACCTCTGGCATGCTTTTAAAAAGGAGTTGAGACAGCACGTAGCATGACTCTTGTTGTATGATGTGTTGTAAAGGTTCGCCATTAAGGGCTAAGGGAAGGGGATAGCGACGAGACAGAAGGTCATGTTTAAAAGTAGTATTTAATAAGTGATCTAATATCTGCTGACTAGTTGTTACATCTGTACATACTGTGACCGTGCAGTATCGAGTCTTTGGGCTTCTCACATCATCTGGAGCCTATTACAGTTAACACAACCTCATTTTTTAACACTAACTTGTGCAAAATACATAACAAAACTACAACAACGCGCGAAACGAATGTATCGCTCTTTCTAAAACATAAAAGTAACAATTTCTTATTTTGATTAAGAAGTGGATGATGTATACACAGTACACATTGTCTATCGTTCTCCAGTAGATACGGTTCATGTTGTTCATACATCATAAAACCAGCTAGGAAAACGCAAAATTATGTGCTGCTTTTCCCCTATTTGATGAAAATAAAAACCCATACCTAGATCACGTCACAGTATACATTAAAACGAAATAAAAACAAAAAAACATTTTTAACTTACTCGTTTGACAGATTAAATAATTTGGTTTTAAATAGTCTCTGCCCGGGCATTTTCAGCCCGGTAGATATCACACTTGCGTAAGAGTACCGACCAATAATATGAAATATCATTTAATATTTACAACAATAGTCCATTTTCTTATATATAAAGTAACATCACATGGTCCTACAGCCTCGTAACCTCTGTCGAGTTATCGGTGCCTGCAGTCTAATTGTCGCTTGAGTTGAACACATCCATTTGGCATGACGTTTGGCATTGAACACAAACTGAAACCGCGCAATGCTAAACAGTGTGTGCATGGCTTCGAAACAATGGAACTCCGCCACATCTAATTTGCCAGCGTTGTGCGAGTGCAAAAAAAATGCACTGGACGCACAAAGCACGCCTCCCGGAAACATGACGGCCTGAGTGTCATAAGGGCTCTGTCATCAGTCTTTTAGAGTTATTATTGCTCTCAGTGCGAGGTGGCCAAACTGCGAATGACCTCCCGCCACCTGAGCGTTAATCGCGCGGAGCAACGAGGCTTTGATGATACCGATCAATCATTTCCAGAAATTGTTCGGGGCGCGCAATTTGAAACTTGAGATCCATCGTGCGGGCATAACGAACACCCTCGACACCATCCGTCCTCCATCCTCTCGCTTCAAAGAAGAGTCACGAGACCAGCCCAGCAAAACGTATGAGCTCTGGAGACCAAGAGGTGGTAGTGTGGTTTCAAAGTGGGCACGATTAGTTATTTTTCAGCGATTAGATTTCCCACAGCAGGGCAGATATGTTTCCGGGAGGACAAGGCGCGCTCGGCACCAAAGCGTCCACGAGAGGCACGGACTAAGTCCGCCTCCGACCTGCAGAGGACGAGAGCGAGGACAGAAATAATATAATAAATTGCAGAGTCCATCCGAGTGTGGCATCACAGCAACACGCACCATGCTGCACTTCAAATAAACATCTATATAGATTCACAAAGAAAAAACGAAATAGAAAATATGGAATATAAAGCTTTGCTAAACAACAGTAAGGACGGGAAATTTCAGTGAGAAATGAGTGACACGATAGGTGTTTCCAGTTGAGAGGAATGTGACAGTTGCTACAAGAGCCATGACAGTGGTGACAGACATTTAAATATTCCGAAATTCGAGTCAAACAACACATCTACAAAAGGTGTGAATCAATTTCAGGTGTTTACTGTAATCTATCATACTTAAGCACTATCAGTAACATCGAGAAATTAGTCACTCATTCCTCACACGAGATCACACGCCACTTATAGGAAATGCTGCACTGTACTAGATTATAAACAACCATAAATACGGATCCGCAGTAATGAAGAGAGAGAGAATTGCAGTGATAATGGAAATGTTTGCAACAAATTCATCCTAGGCGCAACAAAATGCGGAGAGAAACACACAATTATAACAACAACTGTCTCACTGGCCGTGGCTGTAGCCATAGCCAGCGGCCCACTGTCACAAGGTGTGGTAGTCGTGTAGCAGCGAGCCGTCGTGCTGGTGGTGCTGCTGGAGGCCGTGGGGGTGGTGAGGGTGAGGGTGGGAGTCTAGCGCCATCAGCCCGGGCGGCCCCGGGGCCTGCGAGTGCGGCCCGTGCGGCCTGAGCTGCCCTGGGTACGGCGTCGTCCCAGACGGCATGACGCCGGCCTGGAGGGACGCCACGCTCGGCTTGAGCTCCCCGAACAGGTCGGGGTGGTGGTGGTTCGACAGCGACTCCTGCAGGGATAGAGATAGAGTTAGCTTCTTTTAACAATGTGGCTGGGAAAGAAAATAGCGTTGGTCATCGCTGACGATCACTGACCTGCGCGAGCAGGGCTTGCGTGGAGTGGGGCACGTGGTGACCGGCAGGGTGCGCGCTGTGCTCCTTGTGGTCGGGCGCCTCGTCCACCGACTCCGAGGACGAGTCCATCCCCTGGGCGGTGCCCTTGTCGCCGTCACCCCCCGAGGGACTCCGGCCCGGCCTGGAACACACAAGAAACACACACGAGGTTAGATATGGCGTTACATTTCTGCACCCTTGAGGGGAGTACTTTCACTCATTCATGTTCAGGCTCTGCGGGCAAAGTTCGTGGGTCAGAAAATGACTACATGGTCGTTTGTTTTTCGGCGTTGTGCTGCGCATTGCATTGGGGTCTTATCACGGCCTGTCCGTCTGGCGGGGCGGGGCGGAGCGGGGCTACCAATGCAGTTCAGGCCCGGGCCTTCTTTCATGCACATTATCTTGCCAATGACCCCCCAGAGCTCCTCTGCCCAGGGTCCGGGGTCGCGGCTGGAATCGCACATACGACCCGAATAAACAACTCTTGATATTTCGACCCCTTCTCCCCGCCCCCTTCCACCAACCCCCCTCTTTACTGCCACCGTGTGCGGTTTGGTCCGGACCGACCCGACCAAATATGCAGTCAGCCGGGTGGCGGGCGCAAAGAGTTGGGACAAGTGGAGTGTATTAGGGGAGGGGGGGGGGGTATCGATCAAAACAATAACACGACAAGGGTTTGACGAGAAGCCCCGCGGACAGGGCGGGCCGCCCGGCTCCCCGCTCTGCGTACGACTTGGATGAGTAGAGCCTCGAGTCAAGCCACCCAAGCGCGACGTCCCCATGATATTCGTCGAGGTGGGTGGGGAGGAGGGCCTCTCGGCGGAGCGGAGCGGCGCGGCGGCGTCGCGACCGGCCGGGGCGGGGGCGGGCAGGGGGCGGAGGAGGCGCGCCGGATTGTGACCAATCAGCTGTGAGGTGACCAAGTCGTCCTGACGGGCACGCCACGCCACTGCCGCCGCCGCCGCCGCCCCCTTCCACGTCCACCCGACTCGACGCATATCGTCCCTCTCCATCACTTCATCGGTCACAAGCGCAGTCGCCTGGCTCTCGTCGATGTTTGGAAGCCCAAATCGTCCGCACAGCCTCCTCGTGTCCCTCCCTCCCCTTCCCCTCCTCCTAGCCCCCCTCGCACCTCGCGACGTAAAACAAGTGGAGAGGTCCTGGAGCGCGGCCAACACGACACGGGGCTGACTCACACACGGACACCGTGGCAGAGCCTAACTGCAGCATGTCGAGGGGGGCTGCCCGTTAGCGCGGCCAGCGGCCAGCAGCCGGGAGGATGGATATGGCCTGCGCTGGCGAGGCGAGGCCCGCGGCGCGGCCATGAGCCCGGCCCCTGAGGCGGGGTGGGGCCCGCGGCGCACAGACAGGCGCACCGACCAGCAGGGGCTAATTTCATTGTGCGTCGCTTTGTTTTCGCTCCGATTGGCTGAGCGCGCAGCGCCACGGCGCCGCCCCGCCTCCCACCGCGCCGCCGCGCCTTTTCTTGTTCCTTTTATTATTTGTTATTTCTTCCATTTCCGCGGAAATAAGACGCGCGGAGAGCGGGCACGGCGGCGGCGGAGGCACGAACAAGTCCCCCCAGCAGCTGGTGGTGGCGGCGCCAATAACAGGGATTAGTACTACCCGCGGGAGGGACAATGTTGTTCAGAAATGAGCAAAGGGACGATGACGGCGCTGGCGGCCGCGCGCGGCGCGAGGCGGGCGCACATCTGGAGGGGAATGGCATTGCCTGCAGGCTCTCGGGCTGCCCGCGGCACCACCGGGCACCTTCCGGGCACCTCCCCGCGGACCTGCGGCGCTCGCACCACCGGCACGCACCGCCGGATGGATGCGGAGTACTGCACAGCGGGGTGGGCAGGGGCGGGGACACATGCGGACGGGACGGGGACGGCCGGGGCCAACGGCCGCTCCGCTGGCTCCGCTCCGCACACCATTCCAGTGATTGCAACATGTGGCGAGCGCATGTGTGTGAAGGTCAGGCCCAGTATTTGTTCTCGGCTCCGGCCGTTTTAGTTTGGCAGAGGCCTCCTCCTCCTCCTCCTCTTCCTCCTCCGAGACCCCCCGGCCCGTCAGAGAGCCCCACAGACTCACACACTCACACACACTCACTCACTCACACACGCGCACGTGTCGCCGAGGACCCCGGCCGCCCTGCCTGCAGTTTATGCGTCCGACTCAGCATGGTTCTGCGTACGCATTGCAATGCGTCTCTCGCGCGAAACACACACACACACACACACGCACGCGGAAATACACCACCTCGGCCGAGATATAAAAGTGTGGAATCATCAACATCATATAAGAAAATGATTATTGAAATTGTGATGGAATTATAAACTGAATGCTAAACATGTTCCTCCTCCTCCTGGGTGTGAGGGGCAGCATTCTCACGCCTATTAGCACCGCCCGGCCCGCTCCCCCACACGGCGTTATGCGCGGCACGGAGGAGCAGCTGGAGCAGCCAGCGGGAGGGCCTAAGGACCAACGAGCCTCTCCGAGGTGGTGAGACGTTTGTCACAAACCTGCTCGGGAGAACAAAGCGAGAGAGGAGTCCCGGGAGGGGCGGGGCGGCGCGGGGCGTGGCGGGGCGTGGTGGCCAGCAGGGCATGTGTGAGCGCGGGCGCGGGGGCGCGGTGGGGGGCCGGCCCGGCCCGGGGGGGCAGGGCAGAGGGGCTCTGCAGATGCCACCGGCCCGGTCCCCTCGTCGCCGCCACGCCCAGGGAAATGTCACAAGACGCATGCACATACACCACTTGACTACTTCTTGCTCAGTGCAAGAGCCGGCCGGCCGGCCGGTTTTGTTTTCCGTGGAACGAGGGTCCGGAAGGAGGAGGAGGAGGAGGGAGTGCGTGGGAGGGCGTGGCGTCGGGGCGTGGCGGGGCGTAGCGCGCGGCCCTGTGCAACTTTTTCTCGACGCGGCGGCGCACCACTGTGTCCACTTTACACTGCACGGTCCACACATGGTAAGAAACCCGCCGAGCGTCAGCGTCGATGGGAAGTGATAACCTAACCGTACCCCGAAAAGGAACCCAGTCACGCCTCATATAGTAGCTTCTGAGACATTTTATCGACAAAAATAAAAACGTAAATAAAACGTCAATACTCCGTAGAGATAACACAACACAGAAGCGCGTTTTTGTTTGTGAGTCCGTCACACATTTCACTACATACTTACAACTACTTGTGTGAATAGGGCCGTATCATATTGTTTGGCCACCGCTGTCGGCGTGTACGCACCGGGGAGACGCACTGCCGCGAGAGGCCCCGCGGGGGGCCCCGGGTGCGCCCGGTGCGCGCCCCGCGGGGGCCAGAGAAGAGGAGGGCGCGCCGCGCCGCCACGCCTTGGCGTGCACAGCTCTATCCCCTGCTAACCCTTCATCATAAATAATGACAATTGAAACGGGCGGGCGTCCACTCTGTCTGTCCGTCCGGATGAACGCCAAGCCAGAGAAGAATCACACAGCCCCTTCCGTTTGGCTTTGGGCTGCACGCTCGCGCCACGCTCGCGCGCCATAGGGGGGTCCTTCCCGCTGGTGGCGAGCCGTGCGGGGGAGCGGCAATATTTCACAAGCAAGGCCTCTCCTCTCCCCCGCGCCGCGGACCGAGCGGACCCTCCAGCAGCACCGGCCGCCCCCACAATTACCCCCAGCTCATCGCGCGACCTTGCGACACACACGGAAGGGTCTCGCGGAGCAGGTGAGGTGTGGTGGGGTATGACGAAAGCAGCCGCCCGAGCGAGCACCCCTTCTTCCGCGGGGGATTGGGCTGAGTTCGCAGTTCGCACAAAAACGGTGCTCTTTTAACGGTGCTCTAGTAATTGAAAACAAGGTTGATAATAATGGCCATTACGGACTAACAGGCAGTCAATTCTGTAGCCGCGACTTTGCGACCCCTGCCTTCGGCGCCTTACGGCTCGACCGAATAGGCAACCCGCCCGCACGCGTGCATGCGGTAGTCTAACTACAGGGGGCGAATCAGCTCGGTATCAGCCATCCGGTTTAGATTCGGTTTCTACTCTATCAGGAAAAGTGATGCCAATGTGAACACTCTGTTTATATTGTGACCACTCAAACACTTGTTTACAACCCTGAATTCGAATAAGTTTTTGGTTTTTGTGTAACCCCGCCTTTGAAAATGACGTAATTTGTGTACGATCCCCTGCCCCCCCCACGGAGGTTGAGCTGAGCTCTCTCTCCGCACTCTCCACGGGTAACAAGGACTCGGCACGCGCGTCGCGCACGGCGCTGCGTGACGGCCGGACAGTCACGCCCGTCACACGCGTGCGCGGGCCCGTCGAGAGGGGCTCGAGGAGTAAGGGCGAGCAGACGGTGATGAGGCTCCCGGGGCCCCTCTTCGCCTCACGGGGCCGGCCGGGGCTGAAGCCGGGGCCGGCGGCGGGCGAGCGCGCGTGTGAACCGGTTCCACGTGCGATACATCGCTGTGTGTAGACGATATAGTATCGCGCAAGAGATCTCGAGACTGAGTGATTTGAACCATTCTGACCAGTCTGACCACCGGGCCGGGCCGGGAGGACGCTCACCGCTCACGCCACCAGAATCGTCCGCCGTCAGCTGATTTCGAAGGGGCAGCTGACGGCCGATGAGGGTGCAGCACAATGCTCGCAGAAGCATGAGCATCATCACAGGGTGCGCAACGAGCCCTCCCCCAAAGTGAGCAGCTACACGCCGAGCTGCGCAGCCACGCCACACGGGCCGGGCAGCGCGGTGAGCAGCACCAGCAGCCAGCAGCATATTACAAAAGACAAAAAGCTGGGATGTTTTGCCTGTTAGAATGAGATGGGACTTGACAGACAGGGAGGGGAAGCAGAGGGCGGCCACGGACGGGACGGCCATGCGGGGGGTTGGGCGGCCGAGGAGCCGTCGAGAGGGGGCGAAACGGGAGGGAGAGAGAGAGAGAGAGCAGAGAGAAAGGAAAACGCGAGCGAGCGCAAGGCAGAGAGAGAGAGATGAGCGAGGGAGAGAGGGGGAAGGAGTGGGACGGTGCCCCCGCCAGCTAGACGTATCAGGTTACCGGGCAAACACCGCCGCGACGCTGTGGCAGCGGCGGCAGCGGCGGTAGCCTCGCCGTATGGCTGGGTAGGTCGGGCTGCGCTGCGGGCTGGGCGGCGGCGGCGTCGTTCGTGGTGGGCGGGGAAGGGGAGGAGAAGGGGGAAGGGAGAGGAGAGCGTTCGTTGTTCGTTCTATTTTGTTGCGCGCGTCGTACTACGCTGTGCGCGCTGGGGGGACCGCCCTTAGTTTATTTGGGCGGCTTGATGAAGGGTTCACCTATAGGCAGGGCGTGGCGTGGCGGCGCGGGGGACTCACGGCTCTGGCCCCGTGTGAGTACACACACGCAGTGGACGACGACGACGGGGCGGCACTTCGCGCCCTCACAGTCGGGGCCAGTCGGACAGCTCGAGCGACCGAAAACTACGAACTGACGGACGCGCCCGTCAAAAGAGAAGCCGCGCACACCCGCTGCTGCCAATGCATCACGGCGACGGCAACTTTTATCGCCCCACGAACAGAAAAAGATTCGAAAAGGAAATTATTAGGTTTCTTCTCTACCCGTCCCACACTTTCAAACACCCTATTAAGAGAACCCCCCTGAGATTTGA